ACACGCCTTCGTTCATCCACCTCCACGGCTGGGTCGGCTTTACCCCCAGGATCTGACAGCCCCACGCCCACGGGCTGAGCCTCCTCCTGTTCCACGGCGGCAGGTGGTTGGGAAAGACCACGGTGGGCTGCCCTGACGCTCCTTCCCCTCCTCTCTCTGACGCTTCTCCAGACCGTGCCGCCCCCACTCTCACCGGGACACCACCCTGGGCTCTGCCGCGCTGGACGTCCGACCAGGCTGCGTGGAACCCCTGCCTGCGGCTCATTCTGGCTGCCGAGGGGGTTTTCAGCGTTTCCTGGATCCGAGTTCTAAGAGAGGAAACATACACATCACTTAACTCTAAATTCTTTGTCCTTTCTTAGTGCCGTCTTGGCGGGTGAAAAGAAAGTCGTGCACACGGAGTTCCTTATACTGAATGAAATGTTTTCCACTTACTTTTGAATTTTAATCATGATAATTGGGCTGCTTGGTTGGGAGCGGCTAAGCTGCTATTTTCTCATTTTACAAACGAGCCAATAAAGAATATAGTAAACCTGGAAACGGAACTTCTTGCTTTCAAGTCCAATAGTCAAGCAGAGGATTCTGGTGAACACATTTGGATTGGAACAGCTCCTGGTATTTTCATTTATTCACTATAATAACAAGGAAAGTCCCATTTGAGTTAGTGGTGTGTGTGTGTGTGTGTGTGTGTGTGTGTGTATGTGTGTGTATATCCAGTACCTATGTACCCTTGTGGTCTGGTTATGGCCCAAGCCTGGGGGACAGTATTCGCAGGTGTTGGGGAAGGAGGACTACTATCGTTTTAAACAGCTAAGAGGACTTCAGAACGGCAGGTGTCGTGTGTGGAGCAGCGACGCCTGCACCTGGGCCGCGGCCGCGTGGTGGAGGTCTCGGCGTGGAAGCCGCATTTCACTGCGAGGAAAACGACCTTCTGCAGGAGGAAAGAAACGAGCACATTCGCCTTTCAGACGCCTTGTTTCTCAATTACTCCGCAAAGCCTCCCGCTTTGCCCCGTAAGGAGCTCTTCCGCAGGGGTTTTAAACAGCCCATGAGCAAATTTCCGTAGGCAAAACAACGCATAAAGAAATCTCTTTGGATGGATTCCTACGGCTCGTCCATATTAAGTGGCTGTAGAAAAGGCCCCCGTGGTGCCCTCTCATAGGGAAAACAAGTCACCCAGTTATAGGAACCTATAATCCCTTCTGGGTGAAAATGATAGAAATCGAAACCTAAATGTGCACATCTATTTATATTTGCTTAGGCAAGGACACCCATGAAAACCAGCAGACTGTGAGCAGCGACTTCGTTAGGAGACTGGGGCCCAGGAGAGCTGACTGATTTTAGTGGAACCAGGTTTTTGACTAGTCGAATACACAGGTTTAACTCGTGAAACTGAGATGACGGCACCCCATGAACTGATCGAAGCAAAGAGGGGTGCTCGACTGCAGCGCCATCTGGGGGAAATGCGCTGAGTTACACCCACACGCCACATGCATAGTTTTAAATTTTCTAGAAGCTATATTAAAGAGTGACAACAAATACGAAACTAATTTAATGAGCATATTTTGACCTGGTGCATCCAAGGTGTTATCCCTGGACACACAGTCACTAGAAGATGGACTATTTTACACTGTTTTCTTATGTAGTTTTTGAAATCCAGGATGTGTTTTACATCAGAGCCCCAGTTCAAGTGCGCAGTAACCACAGGTGGACAGTGGCAGCCATGCTGGACAGTTGTGTTTGCCTCTGGTGAAGTTCATGGGCAGAAGACAGTTTCACAGTTCGTGAGCTCAGGGTTAGCACGGCCACATCTGGCCTGGTCCCATGACCTTGGTCTTGGTTCCTACTTTCCAGCTCTATCATTTTTCCATTGAAAAGCCTTGATACTGTTGAATGCATTTTATTGTTGCCAGTGTGCATAAAGAATTGTCACCAAATCTACAGTTGAAATGAGAGTGAGGAACTGTGTTTTAGAGGGGAATAAGAAACCAGCTTATTTTAAAAATCTGTGGACATAATTTTATGGGGGCAAGAAGATATTACAATACTAATTCTGAATTTTAGCTGTGGAAACTTTGAACAACTATAAATATTTCCTACTGAAGAGGAGGACAAAATTCTAAAAAAAATAAAAATTCCTTAGTCAAGACTTTTATGACCAAATATCTCATCCAAATATCCAGATGAATTGTTTTTCCTTTAACATACAATTCAACCACTCAGAAGCTGAGTATGTTTGGGTAACTATGGTGAGTACCCCCAGGATTCATTTCTCCAGTTATTTATGGATAACTTGTTTAACATGGATCTAATTTTTTAAAAGCCATGTGATGTAAACAAAATGCATTGTAGTATTTTGTGAAAGAATATTTTTGAAGTTGAATTTAAGAACATTGCCAGAGATCTTAAAATTCTAAATTCTATGATTACTGGAAGGTAACTTTTAGAGAATGTAAGACAAGAAAAAAATGATAATAGTAACGCTAAACAAAGGAAATACTTTTCACTCCTGGGCCATTGACTTAGTTGGAGTATCCTCCCCATGCACCAAAAGGTTGCAGGTTCGATTCCTGGTCAGGGCACATACTTGGGTTGCAGGTTCAATTCCTGGTCAGGACGCACGTGGGAGGCAACCGATCAATGTTTCTCTCTCACATCTCTCTCTCCCCCCAAAAAAGGTATGGAAATGGACATTCACTCCACTGAATCCCAGACTTATTAGTCAGGATTATTGGATATTAGAAGAGTACATTTGCCTACGGCTTTGGCTGAAACGTGACTGCTTCCTTGGAACATGATGTTGATTCCTCTTAACTCATCATTTTTTTTCCTTTACATCCCGACCGTTACCCAAGCACTTGCTTCATTTGGGTCCGTGTGTTTGATTCCTGAATGTTGTCAGTCGCCATCCAGGTCGAGAGAAAGAAATGAGAATGATTTTGCAGGGTTTTAATTGGCAGCCAGTAATTAAAATATCTAGTTTTAAGAAAATTTGATATACAAATATCCAACATATGAAACAATTGACATTTTGAGGGTGATTATCACTTTGAAAAATAATTGATCATTTTACAAAATAATGCACTGCTGTTTCTCTCTTTTTTGCTTTTACACGGACGGTCCCCCGACTAAAGTTACTACACATTTATTTACAAAGCTATTCGCGGGAACGCAACCGCCACAAACAGTGAGGTACATCCGTACAGCATTCCTTCCTGTCAGTGGGCTTTTCCACATACATCGGTGGTAAATGAAGGGCTTCGACTTTACGTCAGTGCTGTTAAAATTAAACCGCATCTTCTGGACAGTCCTGCACCCAACCCTGGCGACGATGGATCAATGAATGCGGTGAGCACCAGGAACACGGCGCAGACAAAGGCGTGCGCCGGAACCCGGCGGTGTGCGGGGCGGTCTGTTGACAGGAAAGCCCCAATCACCCGCTGAAAGACCCCAAAACATCAGCCCCTCGCTTGCAGTGCTGCCGCTGTTCTGCACTGTCTTAGTTTTTCCCTCCTGCTCATCTTCCTCGACGCTACCTGAGACCACTCGTGTTTCGAACGATATTTGATGCTGGAGCATCTGGTACCAACAACACCCAGCACTTTGTCTAACTTCATGAATGCGCCTGTCCGGGCATCTGAGGGGTGTTAGAAGCCATCTTTCCTGTCCACACACAGGAGATACTAAGAACAGCAGCCAGGTCAGAGCGCCGTTCTGAGCAGTGCGTGTATTCACACGCACGCATAGCTCGTGAAACTGGCTGGCACCGTTCCTGCTGCTCTTCCCTACTTTTAAGGTATTATAAGCAGAAACTGGGTTTTTCAATACTACGTGACTTTTGGGTAATGCTAAACCATATACGATATGTCTGCTCCGTGGACCTGTTACTAATTTTGGAAGTCAAATGAACTCAGCCTTTTTCTACTGATTTGAATTACATGCTGCTGGCGTGCAGTGAGGAGACGGTGGCTTCGACAGATGCCAGTGACACTGTAAACTTTAAAACGTTCCAGCACCTCAGGGGGAAGCACTCCCCTCCAGCAGTTCCGTGAAGGAGGGGAATCCAGCTAAATTACCTTGAAAACAACAAAGAAACAAGCAATTAAGAATGTCCTCTCTACAGGGAAGAGTATATGTTTGTATCTACTGCTAAAATCAATCTATTTTCAGAAAGGTTTAATTGCCCCCAAAATATGTAAGTCACTGGAGGAAAGACGAGGAATCTGCTAGGTTTCTGACCATCTTTTGAATCGACAACGTTATCATCGCACTGATTAAAAATAGAATTTTATTTTGCTTAGATATAAGAGTGTTAGAATTAACATTCATCCCGATATTACGAGCACGCCATCCACCACCTTGCTCTGTTCAAGGTTCTTAAGCCATTTCGGCTGATCAGGATTCTTTTCTGACATTCAGAACATTTGCTGCCTTTCAGACATTCAGTTCTATTCATAAGGCCTCATATTTACACTGAGCAATTTAACCTGGAAAAGGCCATTAAAACACACACGCGCGCGCACACACACACACACACACACACAAACTTGAAGTGACACGTTTTTCTGGCGAAATGTTAAAAACCATCAGCCATCCAAATGGACTAGGACCAACACCTCTTTCCTTTCTGAAGGGAAGCCTGGGCGAACTGCGGCTCTGCCGCGCACCCAGCCCTGGTCCTAAGAAAGAGTTCGATCGTGACCCCACGAGAAGCTTCCTCGCGTTAACTGTGCACTACAATTATGTAGATGTTCTTAAGAAATCATTTGCTAATATTTGTGTTTTAAAGCGAAACTGTAGGGCTCTGTGAAAAGTCCTCAATGAGTACCCACCTCTAGGGACCCTAAAAATGTAAGAAAAGCACTAATATTTCAGCTATGTTAATTTTTGCATATAAAAATATCTACTGTTGGAGTCCACTACCACATGAAGTGAGTTGCACTGATTTTCCTTGAAAAAGGTAGCGACAAATATCTTGTGGGTTATTGCAACAGTACAAGAATACAAGGTGAATTTATTTATTAACCAAAAAAGATTGTCAAACAAATTGTGAAAGCAAAAGCAGGCTACAAAGCCAGGGGTTTTTGTCTTTCGGACAGCTTTTGCTTTAAAGATGTTACAGGTTATGGTGCCGCAGTTGATAAATGCTATACAGTGTAAGTTAACATTTGCTAATTTACTTCGAGACACCGGCCCCCAGCTCCGTGCCCTGCGGAAAATACGTATGACGCACGCCCCTCCTCCAAGCGTCACAACCTGGTGGTCACGTAATCTTCGCGGGCGACAGTGTCGGAGAGGGCGGCGTCGTAGTCTGAGCTGGAGTCCTCCCCCCGGCTGCGCCTCTCCTTGGGAATGATGGGCACGGTGTCCTCCACCACCGCCTTCTCGGACTTGAAGGGGCAGATCCGCCTGCCCACCTGCACGGGCAGGCTGTCCGTGCTCCGCTCGCGGTGGTCCACCAGGACGCACTGTTCGCTGAGCCCGGGGATGCCGCGCTCGCCCCGGGCGGCCAGCCCCCGAGCTTCCAGCTGGCCGGTTCTCTCCAGGGACCCCTCGGCCTGCAGACGGGCCACCTCCTCGGAAACAGATGCGATCTGGTTTGTGTGCTGTTGCTCGGCAGCGCTGTGTTTGGATCGTCTGTGAAATAAGCCGAAGTGCTTGATGTCGGTCACGAAATTCATTTTCCTCTGCTTCTCCCGCGGAGGGAGCTCCTGCCCCAGCAGGGCGGAGCCGTTGCTCACAGTGTGCCTTTCGGCCGTGATGGCCGCGGAGCGCGGGTGGATCAGGGTGGTCAGGTCGAAGAGGCTGAAGTTCTTCTTCTTGTCTCTGCCGGCGCCTTCGTCACTCCTGTCCTCCGAGTCCGCGGAATAGGAACAGCCCTTTGGGGCTGGATCGGGCTGGACCGGAGACAGTTTGCTTCCTCTTAGCAACCCCAGGACTTCGAAGCGGAAACTGGAGATGTCCTGCTTCAGTTCCTAAGTGAAATCGGAGGTGATGGCGTTAGTGGGCACCAGGAAACATCCCCGGCTCCTTTCCTACCATATACGGGTTTGACGGGTTCTCCGCATTTTTAAGAGCCACGACTCTGCTGTGGTTCTGTCTAGAATTTCCCATTCCCCCCGGCACGGCGTCACGGTTGATGTCCGTGAACGTCCCTGTGTGAACTCGGCACAAACAAGGAGGCGTCCTAAGGTCGGCACGAACGGAAACGGAGTGTTTTCTTTCCCACCACCGAGGAGTCGGTATCTCGGTTTGGGGGGGCTACGCTTTCCAATACTTGCCCTTCAAACAGTCGCCTGCTTTCACATCACCGCACACTCTCCCAGGGACACCTCCGGTAAAGGGTTCTCGCTCGGGCACACTTAGCCGTCCAAAGAGGCACATAAAACAGCACGAAGTGCAGCTGCCCTTCCCGGGGTTGGCGGTGGCGAAGTGGACTTTCGCCCCACGACTGGGACAGCCACTACGCCTCGCCAGTGGCTGCATTCTGCCAGACAGCCTTTCTGAGAGTCGTCCTTTTTCCTCTTTTTGGACGTGTGACTCCTCGGCACTCACCTGACGGGGCCCTTTGGGGTGAACCCCTCTAGGGTCCCCCCAAAGCACCAATTTCACTAAAAATTTCAATGTTGTGCCTGCGAAGGGTATCTCGGGCACTCACTGGCCAACGTTCAGAGGGCTTTAAGCTTTGCAGTTCGCCCATCTCCCCACCTGACCGGCTGCTTACCTTCGCTCTCCATCACAGTCGCTGCTTTTCTCTCTTAAAGGACCCTGGGGGGGTGATTTCTTTGTTTTTGCCTATAAGCTGTTATTGACTTTAACCGTTCCCCTACAATCTCTAAAAACTCAGGCAGAATAAGCGGTATTTTACACACATGAGTACCTATGTGTGTATATATATATAATAATTATATTATATATGATTAACTATATATAATATAGCATGTGATTATATATTATATATTATACTATGTATTCATTGTATATATATGTGTGTGTATATAAATATATATGTATATATACATATATACATATATATGTATATATGTATAGATGTATACATACGCCCCCTTTATATATGTGTGTATATATTTATATATTATATATGTATATGTATATATATGTATATGTATATATATGTATACACACACACACACACACACACACCTATATTTATACTTACTTATGTATTTCCCGTATCCCATCTCCTCTGGTTGAATAAAAATAAAACTCAGGGACAAACACAAAGTTTGTAAGTTATACTGAAGGTCAAGCCTAAAATCTCCCATCACCAAAGGCACACAAATCACAGAGGTCTCTGTGGCTGAGTTTAGCACGTTGGTTACTAACGGTTCAGGATCAGAAATCAGACTGAAGCTTCGAAAAGCGAAGCCTCAGCGAGTGTAGTTGGGACCACGAGCAGAGGCCCCAGGTCGCCCCCCCCGCCTCTGAACAAGACCTCTGGACATCCCAGGCTCATTGTGTCTGAGAGCAATGCATTCTAAGAGGAAATGTCACCATTTTTTTTGGATAAGTCAGTAGCATTTTAACTTAAAAACCAGGACGCCCACGGTCTCGCAGGCACTGGCCGTTTCATTTTGGCTCTGATCCCGACTGCACAGCGCAGGGCTCCGTGCTCTGCAGACCCCACTGCCGGGCGACAGCCCCGTAACCAGGACAGCCGGCATCACCTTGAAGTTCTCCTCGGTCAGACCCTCCTCCGTGCGGGCGTCTCGGATCATCGCGGCCACGTACCGCTTCACCAGGCTCCTCATCACCTCCTGGGGGTGTCAGACAAGGGGACCCACAGTCAGTGCACGGGCGCGGCTTCTTCCTCAGTCGGCCCAGAAGAGGGGACTGGACTTGACCTCAATGCACAGGTCAAGGTACGGGATAAGAATAACTTACTTGATACTGGTGGTGTCGTCTCAAATTATCAGCCGCTCGCCTCTGAAAAAGAAAAGGACGTGTGCTTTTCAGCTGCATTGATCTGGTTATGATTCTGGAGACTACGGAGTTTGTTCTTTCATCAAGAATATGTTCCCTCGTTTCTTCAAAGTCCACACAAAAGAGACAAGGGACAAAGGCTAGAGGGAGCATCAAGTGAATCCAAAAAGTGAGCGAGCCAAAGCTGCCAAGTGCAAGGTCGTAATCTGTATGGAACTCCATGTATGAAATGAGTTGAAAACTGTGGGGAAAACTCTGGCTGGCGTGGCTCAGTGGATTGAGTGTTGGCCTGTGAACCAAAGGGTCGCTGGTTTGAGTCCCAGTCAGGGCACATGCCTGGCCAAGTCCCCCAGCAGGGGGTACACGAGAGGCAACCACACATTGACGTTTCTCTCCCTTTCTCTCTCCCTCCCTTCCCCTCTCTCTAAAAATAAATAAATAAAATCTTTAAAAATGGTGGAATTGTTGCATTTCTAATATAAAGCTATGGAGAATTAGGCAATTCCAGTTCCCACATACCCCAAATCACTTGAAATGATACTAAGAGACACAAACAGGACATATCAATAAAGAACAAAATAGCAAAGAAAAATAAAAACTTGAGACTAAAAAGCTAGCATTATAATAACATAAAAGTCTTCATCAGTATCAACAGAGCGAGATGACGCATTTAACCGTGGTAGGTAACGCGACCGGAGCCTTGTAACAGACGGCCCGGCGCTGGTCTCAGCTGGACGGACATGAGGGAGGCCGCTAGTTTACTGTGGGGCCGGATTTAACGAAAATGAGTCAGAGATGCTGTCCAACGCAGACACAGGAAATACGCTTATTCGTGAAACCGACACAGCCCTGGGCGTCACCGGGAAGAGACCAGAGTGGTTTGGGAGCAGAGCGAGGACAAGCAGCCTGCGAAGGGAAAATGCTTAACGACCAAAAAGCCACTATAAACGGAGTTAAATACTAAGGGACACCAAAGTTATGTATTTGCAGGTTCCGCAAGTGTTCTAGAGGTTTGAGGGGAAAAGCTGCCATAACCCCAATTTTACAGATGCCATGTAAATATCAACATTGATTCCTAAAGAAGGAAACCAGCCAAAGTACCTTAAAATAAAAATATGTCTGAAATAAAGGCATGGATTCAGTAAACTGGGAGAAAGCAAAAGAATTAACATACCTTAGGTTTAAATAAGTCTTTCGATCTTGCTCTTTACTAAATATTTAATCGTAGGTTGATAGAACTGAATTTTGAGAAGATTTATGCATTCACCTGTGTGAAATGGTACTAGGGAAAATCGCACAACTCGAGAAGACACTTTTCATCCTGAGAGCTGGGGGATAATGGCATTTTTAGTGGCCCAGAGATGGATACACGTTCCCCGACTGCGAGACGCTTTCCGGAGCAGACGCCACAAGGCGTCCACCTCCTGAAGGCTGCTAATTACCTCAATGCCATTGGCTCTAACCCCAACCTTAAGAAACAAATTTTCACTATGATCATGGCATTCATTAACAGCTGGAGATTTGGAAACAATGCACAATTAGAACCCCATGAGAAAATGTTCTATGACTGGGCCACCGGAGGGAGGTCTGTGACTCTTCTTTGTCCCTAAACGCGCTCCGAGTGAGCGAACTCGGGTGCTGACACGAGCCGTGTGCCGCCTTCTCTAACACGCTCACCGTGAGCGTTGCACACGAGACTGGAGTCCCGGGATTCAGACCGAGACTCTGAATTTCTTACAGATTTAGTCGCCCCACATTTTATTAACTTAGGGTTCTACAGCATCTCACCATTCCGCTTTAGTCTTTAAAAAACCCATGAAAGTCAACAAAGAGCAGTTTGAAGTCAGAGTTTAACTTTAAATTTCCTTACTGTGAAACTAACAACGAGGATGACAGAATCAGAAACTTAGGAGTAAGAAGTGAAAATGATCAGAGTGTATTCTTATTAGAACCTTACTCATAGACAAATTTTAAATCTTTAAGACAAACATACAGAGATCAAAGATCCCACTCTAAGAAATAATTTCAGGTTCATTTTTATGAGGAAACTTTTTCCAAAGCACAATAGTCTGGCAGAAAGAGAGCATGGAAGTTGACTAGGTCAGCCTTCAGGAGCCGTTCAGTAGCCCCGGCCCAGGAGAAGACTATAAATAGTTCACTGCTTTTGCCCACCAACTATTTCCCAATTTATGTGATTAGACTATAAAATAAGTTTTAGTCTTCAAGATTACATCAGCCAACTGAACTTCGGTATCCCAGGAAAATAAGAATGAACGAAGTTCATCACCTTCTGAGTATTGAAAATCAAAATCAATCGCTTTACCAAACAGTGGTCACTTAAGCTCGGCTGTCCCTCATGTCCACACAATCTGTCCCCAACGAGATGGCGGGATCGATTCCTGTCTCGTCGACTGCGGTCGTGTCCACTTCCCTGCTTCCCGGAACATCGTGGGCGGGTGCGGGAGGGGCGCCCCGGGGCTGAGCCCAAATGAGGACTTGACCTCTGAGGCTCTCTCCCTTCCCCTCCTTGTACTTTGCAAGGTGAGGAAAGACAGGTCGGGAGATTCTGAAGATTAAATGAGATAATAAGTTTGAGGCTTCCATCGCTAACTCACGTTAGTTCCTATCATCTGTCCACTTTTTTTTTCTGATTAGTAACATGATTTAATAGCTTTAAAAAATATTCTTAAACCAAAGAAGCTGTGGGTAGTTTGACACACAGCGGGGTCACCTGGGAGGCACCTGGGAACCAAAGGAAACCATCACGGACAATAAAATCACGGATAAACTGTGCCCATATCTGTTAGGCGTGCACAAAACGACCCTCTTCTTTTTACGTTGCCTTTCTTAGGCGAACAGGAAAGCCAAGTTCATTCACTAGCCTCCCAGGATCTACCCAAGGTCAAGAAAAACAGGCTGGGACTTAATTCCAATGCGTGACAGTCGGCACCGAGGCATTTGGAACAGACACCTGGTGTATCAGAACCAAACAGCTGTCCCGTCTCTCTGCCTCATTCACACACAAGGAAACTGAGGCCCGCAGAGCCGAGTGACAGGCTGGATGCCCCGATGCTCCCCAGGCAGGGCCAGGGCCAGAACCCTCTGTCCAGAAGACACTGTGAGACGTCTCCCCTCCAAATTTAACCCCCACACCCTTAGGGTGAGAGCCAAACCCCTACCAGACTGGGTCCATATTTATCGTGACAAAAATCAGCGACCGCAGGACGGCCTGCTGCGTGCCGTATTTGTTCCTCACGCTGCCGCGCCACAGCACCCCCGCTGGGTGGCGTCCAACAGCAGAAATTATTGTCTTGTCCTTCTGGAGCCCAGAAGTTCCCATCGAGAGTCAGAGACACGTCTACTCTGTGAGTCGGCGGGGCCCTCCCTTCTGCCTCCCCGGCCCCTGGAGGCGGCGCTCAGTCCTTGGCATCTCTGGGCCGGCAGCTGCGGAATTCCGGCCTCTGCATCCGCCTTCCTCTGTGCTCTCTTCTCTCTGTGTCTCTGTGTCTCTTCGCACGGCCGTGTCCCCATGAGGACTCTACCCCGGTAAGGTCCCACCTTAACTAAGTGTGTCTGCAATGAGCTTACTGCCAAACAGGGTCACATTCTGAGATCCGGGTGAGGGCTTCAACATTCCTCTCTGGGGAGGTCATTCAACCCGCAGTATGTACTTTTTGCCATAAACACAATGATCATTTTTGACCAATAGTGACAACAGTAAATGTTATCTTCTAGAACTATGGTAATATGTTTGCCACATTTTTGTTGTCGAAAGACCACCTGAGGGACTTACCCTCAGATGGGAAGGCATTTAATTATCACCAGAAGTAACTGAGAACAGAATTGACTGATTTGTTTTTTATGAAAGCAACATAATAAAGGACATTTCTTTAAAAATTACCTAAGTGGGTAAGGGTTATTTAATTCTTTCAGGCCATTCCCAGGTTAAATTTGGACTGCTACAGGAATCGGCAAAGGTTAGGTGTTCTGTATGGTTACTGAAAAATAATAAACTAAGGAGAATGAAAGCATGGGAGACCTCGGTTAGCAATCACTTCTCCTGTGAATGAGTTCCGCAGCACGACTGAGAAATTTGTGGGGTCGCATTTTGCAGCTTTTAAAAAAATCAGACTGGTTGTCAATTATGTTTAAGACAAAAAAAAAAAAAGGACCTCACAGCCAGTGAAGGACTTTCCTTCCCTAACTCGGTGTCTCGGGAGAATATTTTGCAGGAGTCGTGCCCTGCAGTCGGCAGTTCTATTTGTAACGCAGTTCAGACCCCGGCACAGCCTGCAGAACCGTCCTCGGCAGGGCGGCTCCCCAGGAGCCGAGGACGCACACACCTCTCCGTGGGCAGGTGCCTCCTGATTTGCTGGCACAGGAAGACGGCAGTATCCGGATCACTGAACTAATGATCAAGGAAAATAGCAACCAACCAGCGAGGAGCCTTTCAATGGACTGTCAGGCTGCTTTAGAGCAGAAGGGGCTCTGTGACCGGGAAAGAAAGGGCCCCAGGGGAGCAGCCGTGGCACTTTCCGCACTGTTGTCTCGGTCTCAGCAGGTCCCGCGACCTGGGACGCCAGGCTGTCTTTACCGAGCCGGCTCCCTGCAGGCGGCTGTCAGAGCCTCTGCCTCTCCTTCCCACCCTGGGCTGGCTGATGGCGGCTTGGAAGCCCGTGAATTAGGCCTTTTATTCTCTGCTTGGCTCAGAAAGTCCCATAAGGGACGCGGCTTGCTGTGTTCTTCTTTTAACAACAGGGGAAAGGGCGAGGGGCCGTTCGGGGTGAGGCCCCGCCGTAAAAACGGCAGTTTTGTGACATGCTCTCCTTGACTACGCTCTTTAAACACACGGAAACAAAATAAAATACATGGGTGTCGCCTTGTTAAACCAAGTGTTCAGAATCTCACTCTTGAGACGCCAAGAATATGAAACAATTTATTCCTCCCTACCCCCACCGGGGACAGAAAATGTAATTAAAAGGCCCCGGCAGCAAATCTTTCGCCTGTGAACGAGGCCAGGAGCTGCTCGCAGATCGATGCTGCCGTCTCCGCAGGGCCTGCAGGTGGGCCTGCTGAGCGTGATGAAGACTCAGGCACAGTTTGATAAATTATCCTCGAAAGGACACTGGGAAGGCTCACACTATCAGCATTTGTCCCTGCAGCGGTGACAGCTGGCGCTCACCTGCACAATTTCTAATTCTTCTGCCAGGACCCTGGCTGAGCCCTTTTGTGGGCACTCTGCGGGTGTGAGTCCCCCTCGGCCCCAGAGCTGAGGGTCCTGAAGGGCCCTCATCAAGTGGAAAACATTCACTTAAAGAAGTAACAATCATTTTTAACGATCTTTTGAAAAGTCATCATCTTTTTTTGGTTCAGCACCCTATTAGCTTAAGCACCTCACTCAGAAACCCAGTCTATGGCATGAAACTCGCTTCACGTCGAGAGGGACCCACGGTGGCGGTGCGGTAGGTGGAAGCCACCCTCACCCCGGCAGCAAACCGGATGTGCCACTCGGCCACAGAGCGGTCCATCTGAGTCACCAGCTGACCACCTGCTGGACAGAAGTACACAGCAGACCGCCTCCTACACCATACTCAAGAATAAACTCAAAGTAGATTAAAGACTTAAAAGTAAGACTCAAAACCATAAAATTCCTAGAAGAAAACAGGCAGTAAAAGCTCGGACACTTTTCCTAAGAATATTTTTTCTGACCTTACCTCCTCGGGTGAGGGAAGGGAAAAATAAACAAAGGGGACCACATCAAACTAAAATGGTTTTGCACAGCAAAGGACACCACCAACGCAGCGAAAGGACAGCCCACTGACCGGGAGAACGCATCCGCCGATGATACATCTGATAAGGGGTTAACAGCCTGATTGTAAAGAACTCAGACAAGTTAATGCCAGAAACACAAACAGAAGTGGACAGAGGATCTGAACAGACACTTCTCCAAAGAGGACACACAGACGGCCAACACTCGACATCACCACCGAGATGCCACCCCACACCTGTCAGAACGGCCATCATCAGCAAGTCCACAAACCGCAAGTGCGGTGAGGACGTGGAGAAAGGGGACCCCCGTGCGCTGCTGGTGGGGATGCGGACTGGGGCAGCCACTGCGGAAAGCAGTGTTGGGTCACTCAAAAAATTAACAATGAAACTTCCTTACAGCCCAGGGTTTCCACTATGGCGGGGAAGGTTAGCCGGCCCATTAAACGAGAACTTGGAGACTCGGGAATGTAAGGGGAGCTGCAAACAGCGACGGGATCTGCAAAAGCTGTTGAGAAAACTGGCCTGGGAAGATGTCACTGCAGGGACAGGAGAAGGAACGAAAGGCACGTCTGATACAAAACAGAGACCTGGGCTGTGTCCCAGCTCCGCCACCAGGAGGCGCTGGCAAGGTGAGCGAGGTCTCTTCCAAAGGCAGCGGTTGAACTAAATGATTTCTAAGGTCCCTTTGAAGTGGAACAAGACAGTCCCAGCCATGTCTCGACTTTACAGAGTGACTGTGGCCTTTTTATTAATGGATATGCACAGGTCTCCTAGTCTTCACGTCTATGCAAGTAACTGTCAGGAAATTATCCCAACTGAAAGGAATTCGCAGCAAAGCCGATTATTTCTGACATTAGTCTCTCTTTCAGCTCCTCTATTAATGTCAGGATCATCTTAATTCACTTTTGACTGGGAGATAGATTTTTACAATTGATATACATTATTTATCTCCATCTAAAATATAACTGGACGGAGCTCAACCAGGAGTGTGCAAACTGAACTATTCTGCCCCTTCTGTCCTGGAAGTGCAGCCCAGATTAAGGGTGAATCCACGGCAGTGAGTTCGATGAGCCAGGTCCCTCCCCGACCCCCAGCAGGGAAGAGGCGGAGCCGAGGGTGGGCCGAGTGTGGAGCAGACAGACGGGCGTCCTCCCAGAGTTGCTGCAGGTCCCTGTGAGTCCCCAGAGCACCAGAATTCCCGAAGGTTAGTAAAACGGACAGGACTGAGGAGAGGAATGGCTTGACATCACGATTAACTGTGAAGTCCCTTTCTGTGCACCACCTGGGGTCAAAATATTTACATTTAGAGAGAGACACACACAAAAATGAAGTGTTTTCAAGCCCGGCCACATACAGAAAACAAAGCTAAACTTGACCTTTTCCCTCTGAAAGGGGGGAGTACTTGCTCTCACAAAAAAGTGAAGGTTAAGCCCCTCTCTGTGTCTGAGAAATGAGAACATATTCCCACCACCAGCAGTGGGCTGGTTCTACGGGGGGCGGTTGGGGGGGAGCAGAGTTAAAAGTCACATCCTGAGAGCGGTTGGTTCTCCAAATTCTGGGGACAGAACTCACAGATTTCTTACACTCCCAGAACAGACCCTCACGGCTTCCTAGGAGGTCATGGTGCCCGCAAGCCCAAGGGCCCCATGGCCATGGCCTACAATGAAAATATTGAAGAATTTCTTTTTGTGTGTGGCCTTTATTTGGGGGCCCAGAACCTCTTTTTAAATAAAAAAACTCCTATGACAGATAGCGTAAGATGGTATTATTCCCTAATATCTTTTTAGGGGTTCAGTAAATTTCATATGACTTTCAGAAAAAGATGAGGGCAAGGACCAGTATTTCGACGTGGAAAGGAGGAAGCCAGAGTGTGGCTTCTTTGAAACCGGCGCCCGTTCATTTGTCTCAAGGTAAACTTTGTCTTGCACTGTTTTCAAAGAACGGAACTCTGTGATAATGTTAACTATACTACATAAGATGAATTATAGGGATACATTCTCTCGGCTGCCGTTCCCGTATCAGAAACGTGAAGGCCTCCCCTTTGGAAGCCCCTGCCCCAGTTCCGAGCTCAGCCGCTAACACGCAGAACACCTGCGGTAATTAACTGCCTATGAAACGGACATAACTGACATTTACTTTACAACCCTATTTTTAAAAATAATTTGAACTTATTTTTTTTTAAAAGAGAAATTAAACAATTGGAGTAAACCCACTTCACTCTTCCTAGGACCAGCGCTCGGGCCTGTAAACCAGCGTGCAGACCGCAGCCCGAGACCCCACCCCCGTGGTAACTGCGTCTCTGAGCACGGAGACGCGCCCCGACCGCAGCGAGGGTGACATGGAGACAGAGCCCTCCCCTCACCGGCAGAGAGGAACACGAGACACAAATAACCGCGGTCACAACTCGGCTGCATCTAGTAATTAACCAGTGGGTCGGGAAGAGGCCCGGGTGACACGTGTGTGTTAAACGGGGACGGTCCCCAAGGTGCAGAACGGGTGTGGGAAAAGGCCAGGGGTTCACGCGGTGTCTTAGGTACGGGAGCTGTTCGCCAGAGGAAACACTGGGAAGAGGGTGGCCGAGAAGGCACAGGCGCCCACGCCAAACGCCAGCTCACGTCCGCTGCCGGACGGGCCAGGGAGGTGACGCGCCGGGCCCTTACCCCTATCGTCCCGAAGCTCTCGGGCTTTCTTCGCATCTTTTTCTTGCACAGGTGTGTCCAGATCCACTTGACCAGGTACCAGAGGGACTTGGGGCTGGGGATGACGTTGAAGGGCGTGGGCAGGGTGCCACCTTCTTCAAAGTAGCTCATCCAGAGCTTCGTTCGAGCGAACTTCCACTCGATGTCTGCGTGGTCCTGCGGAGGAGAACAGGGCAGCTGCTGACGGGCCCCCGGGTGTGGGTCGGGTGAGCCCGCCTGCCTGCCACCTGGGAACACGTCACTCGGGACACCCCACTGAGCCCCGGAGAGAGGCCTCTGGACGTCCCGGATGATGGCTTCCTCTGGGGAGGAGCCACGGTTCCCTCGTCACCATCACCTCGTCACCATCACCTCCCCTCTTCCTCATCTAAACAGACATCTGAAATCAAATCTACAGGGTAAAGAGGTGCGGTGACGGCTGCGCCTGGCGGAGGAAGCTTCCTGCCCTGTGCTATGGGGTTGCACTAGCTCAGCATCATTAGATTCTGGCCCCCAACTAGCCTTGAGCCACCCGTCCCCCGCCTCTGTGTCACCCTCTGGGTGCTCACAGCTTAGCCTCCCGCTGTTCCCAGGAAAAGCCCAACTTGCTACACTTCCCTGGGAATCACCACTGTCCCCTGCAGGCAACAGACATTAACTCAGAGACGCGTTCCCGTGACCGAGGCACAGTGGGGGCTCGGATATGACATTGAACCTTGACATCGCCCTGGCCTGATGGCACCAGATTGGGGTCTGGCTGGTGGTCCTACAAGCCGGAGGTTATCCCCACAGTCATCAGTTCCGTTTGTCTCCAGGGAAAACTGCGGGAGACACGTGTCCATCAGGGAGAGAGCGGCCGGTCTCCTCTTACCTTAGCCATGAGCTGATTTAAGCAGAAAATCTGGGAAGTGGGAAGTGCCAGCAACCAGGCGCACACACAGTGGAAGAATTCAGAGGACTTCATTTCAACCCGTGACGATTGAAAGAACTCAGGCTTAGAGGGGGTAATATTGGACCGCGTGGCATTCTGAGATTCCCCAACTGCGCGTGCCAGTAAAGGCGCAGGTTGTGTGTACATTTCTACTGAGGGCAACAGAGGGCCGGGTCCTGGCCCGGGGCGCACTGTGCTTTCAACGGGGACCACCGTACCCTGGCCGCCGCTGCTGCGTGGGCCGTCACAATACACTTATTCAACTCACAGCAATAAGTTGGTAGGAGTTGTTCATCATGGCTATCAACATGTTGAGCAGGACAACCAGAGAGATGACATTGTACGTCCCGAACATGGTGGCGCCCACGAACTCCGTGAACTCGTGCTGGGCCTTCACGTTGGTCACATACAAGTTGATGAGCCCGAATATGGACCAGAACAGGGACTGGAGCGTCTCAAAGAGCCTGGAACACAGACACGGTGACACCCACAGCTCTATCAACACAACCAGGACACAAGTAAGATGCAACAATATAGGACCTGAACGCTGTTGTGTATGTTTCATTAAAAAATGTAGGTCCTGTTCTGGGTGCCCACCCGAAATATTTGAAAACGTTTATTCACAAAGATTTATGCGCCCCTGTGCTCACTGCAGTGTTATCTGCGGTGGCAGAGGCAAGGAGACAACCGAAGTGTCCTCTGTACGGGGTTGGACAGAGAGGACAGGCGCACACAGACACCGTGGAAAACCACGTCCTGACGAGAGGCCGGAGAAGAGAAGCAACACTGCCATTTGCGACAGCAGCACAGACGGACCTTGAGAGTGTTATGCGAATGAAATAAGAAAAAGTCAAGAACCACGCGATTTCGAGACTTGCATGTGGGATACACAACTGAAAGCAACACGTGAACAAAGACAAACAAACAGAACCTCACAGACGCAGACAACAGTGTGGCGGTGACCAGAGGGAGGGGGCGGGGATGGAGCAGGGCAGAGGGGGCAGATACACGGGGACGGAAAGTGGTCTGACTTTGGGTGGCGGGCCCGCGATGCCACGTACGTGTCGTAGGAATGTGCGCTGGGAACCTACATGATCTTTGTCACCGACGCCACCCCTACAAACTCAATAATAAAAACAGTGTATGTAGCTCTCCCTTTGTCGGATCATTTTAACAGAAATGACCCTTTTACTGAAACTTAAAATAAATGTACTGGATTTTTCTCCTTCACGAAGGAGCCTCACATTCTGAGGCCTGCTGACTCTGTGTTCTGCGTTAAGCATAACTGTCTTTGCACCATTCGTCATGGATTTTTCAAATTCCTAATGTGCCACCCGGTAACTCCTGCACCACGTCACCGGCGGGAATGCCAGCTCGACTCACGTTGAAAACGCGTTGTTCTGCTTCTCACAGCGGATGCCCTTGCAGCTCAGCCCCTTCGTCTCTTCGTAGTAGAAGTACAGCTGATTGAGGCCGTTGGCAAAGGCCAGCAGCACGAGGCAGTAGATGAACAGGAACTTCAGGATGTCCAGCAGCATCCGGCCCAGCGAGATCTGCAGGGGCCCCAGGTGCGAGTTGGCGGTGAACAGCGAGATGAGGCGCAGCGAGCTGAAGATGTTGGCGATGGCGAACAGCGCCTCGGCCACCAGGGTCGGGTGCCACATGTCCCAGGACTCTCGGGGGTTGAGGGCGCTGTACTGGGGGCGAGAAAGGCACAGAGGGAAAGTGAGACAAAGCCATCCCCGTGCCAAGGTCAAGTCCAGGCCAGGGCGCTTTTTCAGGCAGGTCTAGCACAACAGCCTCTTGTCAGGAAGCCGAGGCCCTTCGTGAAAATGGCAGCGAGATGAGTTTGCACGGAAACAGAAGTTTATTAAGGTCGTTCGTAATGTATGAACTTCAATGCAAGTGCCTTCCTGACCTGTCCTTGTCACCTGTAGTATTTGTTCACATGGGAGTGACATCTGTTCTTGCCCTCCCCAACAGAATTTCAAAAAAAAGAAAAGCATGCCACAGGGGAAAAAAATCTGCTTTTCTATTGGGAAAATACAGCAATATCATTAGAACAAAGAAATCCACATCTCAAATGAAAGGCACTAAATTTTGAACACAATAACCAATGGCTTGACTTACCATATCTGACACACGTGCCCGGTCTAAAGGAATGCGTGTACGATACAAATCACGTGTAGGTGAGTGGAAGCAGCGGCTGCTGCCTTGGAAACAGGCAGGAAAACACGGGCGTAATGGGTCATTACACCCTAAATGTAGAAGGGGCTCAGTGCGGAGACCAGCCAGGGGGCCAACGAACCGCTCGTTTTTCATGTTTGATGTGTCATGTGATATTTATCTGAACGTTCCTTAATTATATAAAATGCAATTTGAGAAAAATATTTGCTATGTTAAAATTTGAGCAGCAATTATTTTAAGAATTAAAAAAGTCAGCTTTGAATTATCTCCATATTGAGCTATATAAAATTTGATTTTTATTGAGGACAATAAAATTGATTCTTTATAAAAAAAAAAGATTCCTTGTAGTATTGAAGTAAACTTGTTTTTTTTTTAAAAAAGGGTCAAATATGTTTGAAATATTGCATTATAAAAATCTGTATTTATATTTGTATGAGGAGTGAACAGGAAATTTACTTCTCTTCTTCATACCCATCACTAAAAATATGCCCAGTGATTGCACCATTTTTCCTGTCAGAACAAACATTTTACTTCCGTCTGAGTCTGTGCAAGGGCCGTCTTTCTCGTTATATAGTATTTTACACCAAAGACCTTTGCAGCTGTTAATTCATTTGAAACTAATTGATAGTAGCTTTTAATCTCCCTGGAAAAAGTACGGCACAAGCACCCCATGTTGTTGCACGACCAGACCCTTTCCTGCCCGAGTGACAATTCCCAGCGACCACGTTCACTGCAGCGGTGGCGCCAGCCTGCCTCCCGCCAAGGGCTCGTCCTCACCAGCACCTGTTCGTTGATTTACAGAAGAGAGGAGTTCCCTCAAAAAATTAAAAATGGAACGGCTTTATGACTCAGCGATTCCACTTCTGGAAATTTATCCAAAGAAACCTGAAACACTGATTCGAAAGAATATATGCACAAAAGAATATGAAAGAATGACAGCATCACTGCAGTGTTACTTACAATAGTCAAGTAATAGCATCACTGCAGTGTTATTCACAATAGTCAAGATCTGGAAGCAGCCCAAGTGCCCAGCAGTGGAGGAGTGGACAAAACCGCTGTGGTACCTCTACACAATGGGATACTACTGGGCCACAAAAAAGAAAGAGATCTCACCTTTTGTGACGGCGTGGATGGGCCGGGAGGACCTTAGAAGTGAAATGAGCCCGTCAGAGAAAGACAAATACGACACAATATATATGTGGAATCTCATGAACCAAATAAACTAACACAGAAAATAGGAACAGACTCATAAATACAGAGAACAGCTTTCAGAGGGGAGGGGGTGGAAGGCCGGGTGAGAACGGCCTGGGATTAAGCTAAAATCAAAGCAAGCCAACTCACAGTGACAGACAACAGCGAGGGGAGGACCAGAGAGACAGGGGGTGGGGGAGGCAGGGGAGGGCGAAGGGGGATAAAGGGTGATGGAAGACTTGACTTTGGGGTGGTGAACACACAACACGGTATACAGATGATGTATGATCAGCTTGTGCCCCTGAAACCTGTATCACTTATTATCCAAAGTCACCCCCAATAATTCAACCAACATTAAAAAATTAAGTGAAAAACTGAGAAAAAAAAACCCACTGAATTTGAGCCAGGGGGATATTATATTCTATTTCTGAATCCCCACAACTGTTCTCGGGTGTCCCCACACACGGCTTCGGCATAAAGCAGCCAATGGCTGAAGACAGAAAAATGACACACTGGAGATTTGATACATGTGCTGTCACCGGAGGAAGGGTCTGCGGCTCTCTGCACGTGGTCCCTGTATGTTGTCATCGTTGTCTTCCAAGACTGAGGCCACGGTCGCCTCCTTTTCTCACTGTTCTTGGAAGACACACGTGTTTCAGCAGAGAACGTCGCTGACCCCCACCATCGATGGCTAACTTCACATTTCTGTCTGTCTCTCTGTCTGTCTGTCTCACCAGTGTGGCTGACGACCACATCTCAAAATGCACCGAAAAGGAAGGAACCAGCAAGCGCTTGTGAGGGCAGGATCCAGTGGTCGGGACTTCTCACCACACGGAACGCAGTGCCCGCGAGCCCTGGCCGCAGGAGAACCGTGCTCTCCCGGCAAGAGTTCACGGTCCCGGGAGGCCGCGAGCGCTGCGGGAACGCCGAGCAGAAAGGGGCGCTCGGCCGGGGTCTTTCTCCCTCGAATGCTCACGTGTGGTCACGAGCGAGACAGCGGCCCAGGCCCCCCGTGCCCTGTGTAATGCAGCCAGGTCGAGGTCCTTCCCGACAGTGCAGGAGCCTCCAATGCAGACCTCCCGTGCGGAATCCCGGCTGATGGGCCCTTCTCTGTCCTCTGCCCGACGGTGAGCAGCTGGAAGGAGCAGGCACGGTCTCCGGCCACTCCGGTTCTCAGCGGCCAGATGGACCGCCGGTACCCCACGGCCCGGCACCCTGGGAATTCTTACTGACTGGTGCATGTCACAGCTGCTCCGCTTACGGAGGGCAGGGTCACAAATAAGCCACCCTCTCCAGAAGCGGTGAGTTGTAAGTAATTTAAAGTTAGTAGGAAAAATGGAACGACAGACCAGGAGACGGTAAGAACGGGGGCGTCCAGGCCCTGCCCGGAGAGCTCCGTGGACACAACGTACGGTGCGTAAACCGCGTGTCTCAGTATCAACATCGCATGTCAGAAATCTGATCCCCTTGGGGTCAGTGCCGTGGCCCTGAGCGTGGAGGGACCCGCTCAGCCCAGTGTTCGTCAAGGGGTCTCCGCAGACCAGCTACACCGGCGCCAGCCGGTGACTTTGCTAGAAACGCACACGTAGGCCCCTCCCTAACACTCCTCCGTAGAATTTCTGGGGGTGAAGAAAAGGCTGCTGGTTTTTCACGCCCTCCAGGTGATTTTAGGCACCTGGAGGTGTGAGAAAAGCTGCTAGAGTCATATAATACCAGAATCTCCTAACTGCATGGGGCCGCCAAGACCAGTCACACGGTGCTTCAGCAGGGATGCCAAACACAAGTTCACACATTTGCTCACGTAAGGACCCTCGCGGGGAGACGAGGAACTGCACAGAGAGGCGTCAGAGAGAGACTGCCCCCTCGACAAGAGCCACAGCCCCCTGGGCTCAGACGGCACCTTCTGCCATCCCCACACGGCCTCCAGGGCATCGACCTCAGTGCTACCGAGAAAATGACCAAATTACGTTGTCCTTAAAACATGGCTCGCTGTCCAAGAAGGAGGGAGAAAATGCTCTTTCTTAATGTTTTGATGAGTGCTGGAAACGTAATTGAACAAATTCTAGAAACCGTGGTCTTTCCAACAGGGGGCGACGTGGACCCTGTTTGCGTTGCCCCCCAACACACACACAGAAAAACTGGGGCTGCTATTCTGAAAACTCTGGTAAAGGAATTTGTTCACCTAGATGTCAGCGTTTTCTAGTTCAGATCACACTAAATTGCATGAACCATTCCTGTAGAACTCGACATTCTTCATTTTTTACTGACTATTATTTTGAAACACGTTTTTTAAAATGTGTTTCACATTTTAAAGGGGGACGAAGGCAGGTAGGAGGAGACGACAGGCTGTGCTCGGAGTGACACCCCCCGACGTGCGAAGCAGCCCCAACTGTCACTGCAGAACAAACCCGTGTCACGTACGTCGTGCGCCCCGGGGTGAGACCGACCCGTGTGCGTTCTGGGGAGCAGCGGGTGTGGGCGGCTTCAGGCTCTGTCACGTTGGATCGGATGGAAGAGGAGAAAAATTGCACTCTGCTAAAACACTGCCAAACGACACTCATTTAAACGGAAGTACTAATTTCCATGCCTTGGAAAAATAATATTTTGATCTACGTAATTTCATCAGTTAGTTATAACTCATAAAAATAGATTTTTTTTGCCAGAATTGGAAGTGTTTGAGGTAGAATTTCATTAGAAAGCAAAAGAATGAGAAACACAAGGAGCCGATATGAATAATTCTGAGGCATCTTTCAATTTAGATAAAAGAAAATTGGGTGAGGGCTTCAAATTGTTTCTTAAATTGGTTTTATGATTCTAAATTGTGTATCAACCCATGCATTTTATACCTAGCAATAGGTCACGAGCTGGTGACTGTCACACACAGATGAAGAATAAGTAGCCAGATTAACGACATTGGTAGCAACGGGAGGTGTATCGGTGTTTATCGGAAGTTAGGCTGTACCAGAAGCGAAAACGATAGATAGCTACCTTCACAAACGCCACGATTTTCAAGGAGATTGTCGCCAGATACAAGGAGTTCATCACGAAGTCCATCAGGTTCCACCAGTCGTGGACGTAATCCTGAAGGCCACCGTCCCACATCTGCTTGATTTCCCCCCAGATGAAACCTGCAACGATAGAAAGACTCCCTGTCAGGGCGATTTTCAATCCAGTTGCTCAAAATGGGTTCACCGTCCCAGCACCACAGCATCTTGGGGCCGTGAGAGACCACAAACCGTATTTTGCTGCGTATAACGCACCCCCGTTTTTTGGCCCAAACTTTGAGGATAAAAAAACATTTCGTTTTAATTTCTTAATTCAGTTTTGTATTTAGTTATATTTAGACACTTGTTTTTTGTATTATGAAGGGATTTTAGCGTATATGTTTGAACATGGCACGGTGCAAGAAATTTTATGAGACAGACAATTACAAAACATAAGGGCAGATACCCGGTATTTCAAGTACCGCCCATGGATGTTATCGCACATCCTTATCTTTCCCTCGAACATTTGGGTAAAGGCACGTGCACCACACACGGCAAAATACGGTCGCTGCAGCACTGGGTGCCACCCCCTTACGGCGGTCGGGACACCGGGCAGCGCTCACTGTCTTAAACACAACGTATCTGAGAAATTCAGACGAATGTGTCATTTTGAATCAAACTGTAATTCCTCTTTAACTACATATTTTTTCATGACAAATACCATAACATTCACTCGTAAACAAATACTTAAAGACATTCTTCATCCCCAGTCGAAGCAGCGTGTCCGGTGCGCACTGCTGGCCTCGCCCGGGGCTCCGGCACTTCGCATGCGTTCGGGAGCCACCGGCACCTGTGGGGCTCTGACTCCGGCTGCGGCCAGCACACGGCGACCACGTCCACAGCACCTGATTCGAGATCAGCAATGGCTTTAAAAGCCGCGTCCAGAGAAAATGAAAGCCCTGTTCTTCATGACGACTATGTTTTCAATAGGAAGTGTTTTATTTTTAAATTCTAGAAAGCACTTGTAAAATATCACTGTGTACCATTGCTCTATTTTCATAGTCTCATTACAATTTTATAATTCTGTTTTTGGAGCCTAGTGATGAGGAGGGTATACCAAAGCATCTAGAATCAGGAAATACTGAAAGAATAAATATGATTTTGTAAGTGCCGTAATAGAAGCAAACAGGAAGAGTCTTGTAAGGAAAATGGTAGCCTGGGAAATCAAATGGGGGCCCTGAGCTTCAAACGTGTCTGACACCAAAGGCAAGACAAAGTCAGATGAGCTAGCCAATCATGACTTCCCGTGAACCCGTGAGAGTGACCAAGGACGTCCCCCCTCCTGCCCTGATGGCCCCGCCTCCAAACCCCTGCACACTGGGGGTTAGGATTTCAGCGTGTGACTCCGGGAGCACACAGACACGCTGGCCACACCGCCGGCCACGCCACTGCCCCACGCAGAGTGTGCACCCACTCAGCTCCTGACCACGGCCCTGAGTCCCTGCGCTCACGTCCCGGCAGAAGCCATGCATGGGTTTCGGGCACCCAAGCCGTGGGCTCTGCCGAGTCTCCTGCATGGGCAGAGCCGATACCCTCATGACCTGAGTTCATGCTGTTTTTAAAGAGATGAGAAGCGCTGCAGGCATCAGGGTGGCCGGGGCAGGGAGCTCAAGGAAGGAGGCGTATCCCTGAAGGAGGCGTATCGGGGACTGTCCCTTGCATCTGAAACTCCGTCAGACCAGGTGGTGACAACGTGCTGAGAGGGAAAGGCCATCAGAATCCCACGCACAGGATGGGGAGTTCTCACAAGTGAAAGTGGACAAGAGCCGTGTCCGGGACCGTCAGAAACCCAGAGAGCTTACTGCCACGAGATCCATGCCAGAGGATGTTAAACAGAAACTTAGGCTTTATAAAAGGAAATAAAAATCTCTATATCCAGAAATGGCTAAATTAAAAATAAATGGAAAAGATTTTTTTAAGTTGAATTTCTCTAACATATTATTGACTGCCTAAAGAAAAACTAATAGCCATTTATTGTGGTGTAACATGTATGCAGTATATGTAAACATAAAATCTGTAACAGCATCAGACGGAAGTTGAGGGAGTAGAATTTGAAACACACGGTCAGAAGGTTCTGATATTACATGTGAGACAAAATAATATTTGAAGTTAGACTGTGATAAATTAAAAATTCATACTGTTAATCCTAGGAAAGCCTCTTAAAATATTTGAGTGTATTAATAAAGACTAGAAGTGTACAAAGACATGAAGTTATAAAAACACTCAATCCATGAAAATGGATTATGAAGAATGAAAAAACACAACGAGGAACAGATGGAGCAAACAGGAAGAACAATAGTAGCGGGTGGATTTTAAATCTTCTCGCATCAGGAATTACACTGAATGAAATATATGGTCTAAACACCATAATCAAGCGATGAAAATGCATAATACCACCACATCACAACTCATCGATAGGTTAAATGTAAGGATATGCTAAAAGTACCATGAAACACTCATGGAAAGAACCCTCCAGGGGCTGGGCGCGGTCGGAAGAAGAAATGTTGCCAGGTGTGTCGAGGGAGTAACAGAAGGGGTAACAAGTTCAACTCACTGAGAAGACGGACGTGAGCGACCAAACGACTTTACGGTGCAAGATGCCATGATGACGGGGACTGGAAAAAAATGGGGGTGCAGTTACAGTCAGAGGTTTCCTTTCTCCCTGTAACCAGTGGAAGCGGCAGGCAGAAATGGAGGAAGTTACAGTACTGGACACCTGACAGCTGCAGAATACACCCTTTTTTGACTACAAGTGGAACAGTTACTGAGACAGACCATGTTACGGGCTGCAACACAGACCTCAGATCCGCACACAAGGTGACATCTTACCAAGTGGCTTCTATGACAAGGTGATAAGCAATAGATCAGTAATGATTTCTGGGAAATTCCCAAGTGTTTTGCAGTTCATCAATATACTTCTTATAACACTCGATCAAAGAGAAATTTACAGAGTAGTTAGACAGCATTTTGAGTTGATCGAAAGTAAAAATACAACCAAAAACTCTGTGATCCAGCTAACACGGCGCTGAAAGTGGCACTTACGGCCTAAATGCTTTGCCAGGACAGGGGCCCGACCGCTGATCTCCACGCAAACAGCAGGGGATTAGGCCCAAAACGAGCAGAAGGGAGAAATCAGCAACAAGCAGTCATCGATGATTCTTAAAGCATAAAACTTGAGCAAAAAAAATCAATGAAAACCAAATGTAGATATTTGAAATAGTCAAAGTTGATAAAACTACCGAGAATGATGGGCAGGAGATAAACAGAGAAGATATTCATGGCCAATATCAGGAATGAAAGAAGGGCCATCGATACAGATTATAGTGATTTGGGAGGGATAACAAGTAAATCAAATGAACAACTTGGTCCTCGCAAATTTCACAATTTAAATGGATTGCACATTTTCCCTGAAAAACACAAACTTCTCAAGTGATTCAACAACACAGAGTAACCTGCATGGTCTTATACTTATTTAAGAAGGTGAATTTATAGTTAAAAATCTGACAAAGACAGCTTCAGGTAGAGCTGCTTCATGGTGAGTTCTACCATACATTCAAGGAAGAAATAATAACTGTGTGAATCAAACACTTCCAAAAATACAGGAGAAAGAAACATTTAAGAGGGAGGTATTATTCTGATAATTTCAGACAAAAATAACACACACTCAAGTACACACATATAATCCTTAAGAATATGCACCCCCAAATCCTCAACAAACAACAAATATTAGTCAATTAACCACAGTAATATGTAAATTAATAATAAATCATGACCAGTGCTGGCTTCCCTAGGAATGCAAGGTGGTGTCAACAATGAAGAATCAATTTAATATATAGCGTTAGCACATTACTGAAAAATGGAAAGATCGTCACAGTAGATGCAGTAAATATATTTGAAAAAATGTAAGGTGTATTCGTGGTTAAACAACTTTCAGCCAAGCACACACAGAGGGCAATCTGTCGACTTGGCAGAGCACACCCATTCACATCTGCGACGAACATCACGCCTGCGCTGCACAGCCCAAGAACAAGCAACTTCGGGTGGGCCACTTGTGACTGGGTGTGGCTGCCACAGTGGGACCATTCAAAGGAGCCACCGAAGGTCCAGACACCACTCCAGGCCACCGTTTGCCACCCCCTGGTCCCACATCTTGACTGTGGTGATGCTCACAGGGCAGTAACTGTTTTATCAACATCTTAGATATCTGTACACTGAAAAAAAATAGTGCTACCCCTTCATTTGAAGGCAGCAAAGTTTATGAGAGATTGACGTGGATGGATGCAGGGATGTAGGGACAGTTTAAAAATAGAGAAACAGCCTTGGTTGGTGTGGCTCAGTGGACTGAGTGCTGCCCTAAGAACCAAAGGGATCGCAGGTTCGATTCCCAGTCAGTGCATATGCCTCGGTTGCTGGCCTGGTCCCCAGTAGGGGGCGCATGAGAGCAACCACACATTGATGTTTCTCTCCCTCTCTTTGTCCCTTCCTTCCCCTCTCTCTAAAAATAAACAACTTTTTTTAAAAAAGAAAACCCTACTGTTTTAAACAACAAAGAAATAAAATATCAACTGTAACACACTGGTGACAGGTAACACAGCATTCACACACACGTCCCTACACTTTCCGTATGTTGGGAAAGTCCACAAACTGAAAGAAATAAAAGTACATTAGACATGAAGGTCTGTCTTTAATTGTAGGAAAGTGACAATAGCTATTTAATGTTTTAAATAGAGTTTTATTAACTTTCTGTGTTTTAATTAATAACAAAGGAAGACGGACTCGGCTGAACCATCGCAGTGTGTATTGTAGAGTCCGCGGCAGACCCTGCGGTAGTTCGGATGCGGGGCTTCCACCCTAGCTTCCCCTTCAAGGTCACTGCCACCAACAACTCTCGTTTGCCCGCTTCCCTGAGACTGGGGGGCTGACAGTAGCCACCACCTCCCTTTGAAGGAAGGACGCGAACAGAACTGAATAAAACACATGCAGGCACTGGAGCTGAGCTTGTGGTCAATTTAGAATTTCTTTACCCGACGAGAAACTTCTGCGGCCCTTCTGGCCCCGGGTGCGGGCTCAGCACCTGGCACAGC